GGAAAATTTTTGAATTTCTGCTACGTTCCCCAACAATGGGCGGGGCAAGGGAGGAGGCAGGCGTGAGGACGGGGGCGCGCGGCGGCCGGCGGCGATTGGGGGCGGGGCGACGGGCGGGGCAAGGGAGGAGGCGGGCGTGAGGACAGGGGCGGGCGGCGGCTCCATGGCGCGCGGCGGCCGGCGGCGATTGGGGGCGGGGCAAGGGAGGAGGCGGGCGACGAACCTGATTTTTCCCCGCGCGCGCGCAACTGACAAATAGAGGTTGGGGTTGTTTTCCCTCTCCAACCCTCACTTTTAGAGGCTGGGAGAGCGACCCGGCTCTAACCCTTAAAATTGTTTACAGGTTTGGTTAAAGGGTTCTAGTCTTTGTGTTTTTTTTCGTCTCAACCCATAAAAAAATGGTTGTTTTTTAGGGTTTGAGGGTACTACTAGACATGCTCTTAGCAGCAGCAAGTCACGCAGAAACCCTGATAGTAGGAGTATGGCCGTAGTAGAACTTGGCATATAGCCGTACTAGACCTTCACGGCGGTCAACATATAAATGTACTAGAACCTGGTATATAGCCATCTCAACTAGTACATGCCCACCTGACCACCTCCTGTACAAGTAGTACTCTATCTGCATCGCACACACACTTTCAGTTTTACCCTGGTATTCGTTTATCTAATTCGTCATATGCTCTGTATCTCTCTCCATCTATTTGTACTCTTGCTTATCCAACAAAATAAAGGCATCACCTTCATCGGGAGAGAACGAAAAGCAGCATTGGCAGAAAGTGTAACGGGAGCTTTAGCTGGAAAGTCTTCCTCTCGCGTCTTCAGGCTAGCGGATCTTCACCCAGCAGCGTGATGATGGGCCGGTTAGGACAGATTGCGTGCACCTGGTGATCCTTTGCCCCGGAAGCAACCTTCGTCGGGAAGGTCGAGGCGGCCCTTGCGAGAAGGTCAACCAACCGAGCGCCGCCACAGGCCCTCGCTGGGACTCGGCCTGAGACGTTGTCGGGTGAGTTTGTTGAACGATGCCAGTTGGTGTAGTTGAACGGCGGCCCGAGATGGTGCTCGAGGTGGCCCAGTTGAACGGCGCCCTAGCAGGATGCCCCGAGGTGCTCCGAGAGTCGTGCGCCCCATGAGAGAAGATTAGGGAGGATCAGGGCGGATCACACCTTATCCATAGACGAGGGTGGCACGCATCCGTCGCCAACGTACTCGAGGAAGGAGTTGAACGGCGCAGGCGAATGAGGTCGGACTGCAGGCGACAGCGACTATTTGGTGGTTACAGGTGGCCATGGTGGAAGCGCAGCGCCAGGATGCTGTCGCACAAAACATAGAAGGAGGGTAGAGGGAGGGCATCCCCACGGTGGAAGAAGGCAGAAGCGCATGGAGGTGAAGCGGCGGCGCGTGGGATGGCCGGATGGGGGACGGTGGTGCGCGGAGACGGGCTGCTGCGCACGGGAGGTAGGGCGGCGGTGCACAGAGGCAGGAGGCGAGCGCGTGGGAGGCTCGGCGCGGCGGCGGGGAAAGCCAGGGACCACAACGCCGGTGATGTGCGCAGGTGGCGGCGGCGGTGGGATCTTGAGGCGGCGGTGTCTCTAGTTGGGGCGTGGTG